CAAAAAARAAAAAAAAAAAAAAAAAAAAAATTAATTTATTTTTTTATTTTAGAATTGGTAAAGAATTTCGATGTGACCCTGAGGCAAAAAATGTTCAGTTTATTTTTTTGCATAACATAGTTTTGTTTGAATTTTTTTGGAGTTTGTTTTTGGCTGGGACCTTCTTTGGTCTTTGCATGGTCGGGCCGCCCAAGAAAATAGGGTGACCCAGATGCCCCGATTAGTGGCCTACAAAATTTTGAGTTAAAAAAAAAAAAAATGTAGAGAGTCAGGCTACCAGAGTGGCCCGGGGTCACTTGCCCGGCCTGGCCAAAGAAATAAAAATAAATAAAAATAAAAATTGCAAGAAACCTGTCTGTTCAACACTTGCTAGAGTGCATCACATCACATGCATTCACACAGATTTCCCAAGCTGCAATGTTTCACACAAAGCCCAATAGAAGATGAATGAAAACCAGGAAGTTCAACTTAATTAATTAACAAACCCAGAGTAAGGAGGGCGCATCATAAGTCCAAATGTCCAGCGCCAATCAAAGTCACAAGTCTTCTCCAATCAACATGAGTTCCCTGGCCTGACTCTCAGCCAGCACCAGCTGCCAGACATCAACAACAACGTTCAGTAGGTAATTTTCACCATAATTCGCACCTCCCCCTCTCTCGTCTTCTTTCTTCTTTCCCTCCCTCCTGGTCTATAGTACTGATCTACTCTCACTCATCATGCATGCACACTCCCTATCACACGAGGATCTCTTCTGAATACTACTAATTGGTATTCCTACTACTACTAACCCCTCTATTGCCAATAACTTCTGTTGGCACAGCTATGGCTGCCTTCCTTCTGCCAGCACTCTCTTCTTCCTCACATAGCGCTGCTCTTCAACCTAGCGCAACTCACACACATCTAGTGCACAAGTGTCACGACACTTCCACACTTTCATGCAAAGTGAGCATCTGTCCAAATGAGAGGCTGGCCAATCCTTTATAGTGTCCGACTGGTCTGGCGTGACCTGCATTCAGCCTCAAGTGTGTCTGGGACTCCAGCCAGTACCGATTGTTGCAAAGTGTGTGTCCCAGTATCTTTTTCCATGGTCTGTTGCTGCTTGGGCCATCGGGCCTGTCTTTTGGACTCCCGATCTGAATCGAGACTGACTTATGAAATTATGAATGGACAGGGACTGTAGCCTTTGACTTATTGACGAACAGACATGACTTTTCATCAAGGAGACATAACCCTTGCTCAGTCTAAAAAACTGTGTCCAGTAACTGTTCGTGCAGGACCTCTCATAACCCTTTCAAAATGACTTCCCGTTTCATTATGGATGTGACTTTTCCCTCAAGAACTTTGTCTTTTGAGTTGCTGCTCGTGATTTTTAAACTCTGGCCGATAGAGCTCTTTGCTGTAGGGGCTTTCCATTCGGGGTCTGATTCGTAAAGGCCCTTTTAAAATATAATTTTTTAATATTATTTTTTATTTTAAACTTGGTGAAGCATTTCGATGCGACCCTGAGGCAAAAGTTGTTCAGTTTATTTTTCTGCATAACATAGTTCGTTTTCGAGTTTTTTGGAATACCTTTTTTTTTTTTTGACCCTCCCTGGTCCTTGCACGGGCTGGCGAACCGGGACCCGGGCGGCCCGGCTGGTAGCCTAGGTAGAGAGAATTTTTTTTATTTATTTTCAATAGCAATTTCCTACCCCCCATGGGATCAAAATATGCCAAAAGGAAGGAGAGATCAAAATAAGCATACCAAGTTTCAAAGTGTCACATTGCTGCTCGTGATTTTTAGACTCTGGCCGACAGAGCTCTTTGTTGTGGGGGGTTTCCATTCGGGGTCTGATTCGTAAAGGCCCTTTTAAAATATAATTTTTTAATGTTATTTTTTATTCTAAATTTGGTGAAGCATTTCGATGCGACCCTGAGGCAAAAGTTGTTAAGTTTATTTTTTTGCATAACATAGTCTGTTTTCGAGTTTTTTGGAATACTTTTTTTTTTTTTTTACCCTCCCTGGTCCTTGCACGGGCTCGACCCGGGCGGCCCAGCTGGTAGCCTATGTAGAGAGAGTTTTTTTTTTTTTTTTTTTTCAACAGCAATTTCCTACCCCCCATGGGGTCAAAAATATGCCAAGAGGAAGGAGATATAAAAATAAGCACACCAAGTTTCGAAGTGTCACAAATTAAAATTTCAGAAAAATAAATAAATAAATAAATAAGGAGGTGGAATAGAGTGAAGAGAAAACAAAGTTTTGAATTTTTTAAACATTTCGATAGCATTTCGTTACCCCTATGAGGTTGAAGTGTGTCATTAAGAAAAATGACTAAATAAAAAATGAAAAAAAATTGTCAGCACTTCACTACGCCCAAAGAGTCAAAATGTGTTTGAAGAAAAGAGTAGAGAGAAAATAGAAAATTTCTGCAGCACTTCGTTATCCCCAAGAGTTCAAAACATACGCCGATAGCAGAAATAATGAAGTCCTAACAAGATACACGGGTCCCACAATAAAATTTGAATTCTTAAAATAAATAAAAATAAATATTAAAATAAATCAAAAAAAGAAAAAAAAAGTAAAAAATAAGATAATTCATTTTTTTTTAGGAAAAACAAAAACACTAAATCAACGAGAACGATAAAAGAAGAAAAACAGAAAAATTTAAAGTTAGGAGGGGGTGAATCAAAAGTGATGATAGGTGAGAAAGAGAAAAATAATTGAAGTAGGAGGTGGGAGATGATGGGGCTGTAGTTGGGGTAGCGAACAAGGAGAAGAGGGTGAGTGAATGAGAGAGAAGGGGATGAGAAAAGTGGAGAAAAGAATGAAAGATTGGTGGAAGAGAATGAGTAACGAGGACAGGGAAGAAAAAGATGATGGAAGATAAGTGAAGAGGGAAATGTATGAGAGGACAGTGGAAAGGAGAGGAAATAAGTACGGGAAAAAAAAGAGAAGAATAATGTAGGATGAGGGAGTAATGGTACAGTTAGAAAACGTGATTAAATGATGGGGGGGGGAGAGAGAGAAAGGGGTTGAGGGAGAGTAGTATAGTGAGTAGGTAGGTTATACCAAGCTCTTGGGTGGCCAAGAGCAGAGAACACTACGAAGATCCACATGATCTTGACCTTCAAGGTGTCGTTGGTCTGCTGCCGCAACAATATAAAAACTTAATGATGATAATCTGGGGTTGGTTGAGATTTTGATCCGCTATCCTGATTGCACAGTCGTGCAGCCCCCCAGCCAGGGGGGTTTCCAATATTGCCAAAGTACCGCTGCAACAGTAGAAATAATAATAATCATCATTATTATTTGGGTGTACTGAGATCTTTATCAGCCACTCAGATCCCACTGAATTGCAGCCCCCTAGCCCGGAGGGTCTTTAAGATCTTCAACAAGCTGCCACGTGGCACTGCAGAGGGCCACGTGGGCAGGCAGCAACAGCCATGATGCCCGGGAGGGGTGTGGGGGAGAAGGGGGGCAAACAACAACCCACCCACTGTTGCCGTGTTGGTCACCACTCGCCGCTCGCCGACAGGGGCGGGGTGGAGGGGATAGATAGCTGGCCTGACACTCTTCAACACCAACGTTCCACGGTAGAAGGATATGTATAAAGTTTGGTCGGTGTGTTAAGCCATTGGCCACACACAAGCATGGGTGGCAGCTGCCCAGGTTCAAATCCTAGCAGCTGCACTCCCGGAGGTTCAAATCCTAGCAGTTACACAATATAACTCGGAAGCTAGGCGAGGCAGCGTGCGGTGCGCACGTACGGCGGCCTTAGCGCTTGCGCGCATACGTCGTGACGGTGCTTTCCATTTTTGCTACGTGCACGTTGTCGGAGCAGAAACCCTTACAAGGCAGTGTATACGGCCGTACGAATACGGGCCGTACGTACGGGCCCCGGGCCCCGGTATGGGTCATACGTACGGACTTCCGACCGTCCGTACGCGGTCTTCGAGGTGGGGTTTGGGAGTTTTTTTCAAGGTGTCGAGTGTCAGGGGGAGTCCATCTGGAAAAAAAAAAAGTGAAAAAAAAAAGTTTTTTTTTTTTATTAGGG